CAGCAGGAAAAGTTGTAAGTGTACGTGCAACATTTGGCAAGTGACAAAGCTTCGGGAAACACCAAAATCTGTTTGGAGCTGTGCCTTGGTAAAACCACCTCCTTAGCCCTTCAGTGGGTGGAGAAGTGATCCCATTATATAAAGCAACTAGAAGCACAGGGAAGTTCGTTCAGAAGCTTTTGGAACAGAAAGGTCCAAAGGAGGAAGGTCCAATGAAATCCAAAACTAATATGAGGGAATTATATATTTTCTGCACTGTTAGGTTGGGTAATTCCCTATCATGGGGAATAGGTGAGGCCAATAGCAAAATAAAAAGTAGAAAGGAATTGGACATTTAGGTGGCATAAGTCATGGGGAATAGTTGAGGCCAATAGCAAAATAAAATGTAAAAAGGAATTGGACATTTAGGTGGCATAAGGAATTCACAGCAACTATAATTCACAGCAAGCCTTGAAGGCAGGAATATAGAATTCATATCTCAGTACTTTGGCCTTTCTTGAGCTGATAGAGACCCGGTGGACCTCCAACCACAGGGTGGATTTTTCTGCATCAAGATACTGCAAAGATTCTTGTGCTCACTCCGAACCATATGATTTTGGCTATAAAATAGATTTCTGCCTCATATGGAGAGACTTGCACGTGGTGGGGAATGAGATGGTGATGGACGTAATCTGAGGATGACTTTATGTAATGACAAGTTGAATTATATCCAAAAGGGGCGATCAGGAGTGGGATCTGAAACGGGGAATGGCAGTTTGTGGACAACAGGGGAGCTCAGATGCTTTAGACCCTCCGTAGAGTGGAGGGAGATGCTGGGTATGTGAGGAGGGTGGACTTGCCTCTTGGCTCCTCTAGTTGCTGTGTGGAGTGTTGCCAGCCTGAACACAGCCAGGGCCATGTGGCAAGGACAGGATAACGTGGGCTGAAGTCAAGGGCTGTCCAAGGAGGAGGCAGTGGAGTGGGGATATCAAGGAGGCCCAAAGCGGGGGATGTGTTCTGTGAAGGGCCGGGACGAGCACTGTGGCGGCGCGGGACGGGCCGGCCGCGTTGGTGCCCGCGGGGGGCAGGGAGGGCACCAGCTGGCGCACCACATATAGCCCGCGGCTGACTTAGCACTTGTGCCGCGTCGCCCTCCCGCTCCTCCCGCTCGAGGGTGTCTAATTCCGTCCCGGCCCGTGTCAGCGCCTGCCGGCAGCTGGCAGGGAGGCAGGCGGGACATTCCCGGGAGAGCTCCGAGCATCTCCGCCACCCCCTTCTCTGCCCACGGAGCTCCGGCGGTGAGGGGAAAGCAGCCTCCAAAGCTGGGTCTGCTCCTCGCCCTCCCTGCCGTTTGGGGTCCACCTTCGGCACTGCGATTCCCCAGGGAAGAAGCCGAGCTGCTCAGGTGCTCTTGGCAGTTTGCTTTCTGCTGCCCGTAAAGCTGTTGGTCGCTTTTTGGCCTCTGCTCTGTGGCCATGGCAAGCCCTGGCCTGCGCAGCACGGTGCTCTCAGCGCTCCGAAGTAGAAGAGCCTGGTTAAATGAAACCCAAGTAGGAGCGAGCAGAGTTGCGCCTGGCTCCCGTTCCCCGGCTCCTTTGGCAAGGGCCGCACTTGAGGCAGGATTGATTGAGGATTGAGGACGTTGGTTCTCACTGGGCAGGATTTTTTTTTTACCAAGGAACATGCTAGCTGGCAGCTCCAATGTGGGACAGTTCCTACTACGTGGTTTTAAATGTAAAGATGAAGCACCATGTGAGGTGCTAATCCTGGCACTCCCTCTCGTGCTGTACATGATAAAATCGCCCAGTGCCGCTTGGGACTGTTGAGTTTCCCACAGCTTCAGTGTCCCACGTGCTGCAGAGGTTCGTTCCCTTCCCCTCTCCTTCTCGGGGCCTGCAGCACAAGAGCGATATGA